TATCAAAATTGCAAAATTTTAATTCAGCTTATAAAGTTTTTTTATTTCCCTTTTTTTAATATATTTATTCATAAAATTTAATTTAAAGTTAATATGTAGGGGAAGAAACATCATCGCAACAAAGTTTATATGTAATTCTATATGTTTTTTGCTATAATTTTATATATAAAAAATTTAGATATGACAAATCGGTTGACTAATATGCTTTTCTTGTTTTAATAACTACATTATATTCAATCTATTTTAACCATTATAGCACAGTAAGTATAAAAATTGTTATTCAATAAATATCATTATTCAATTTAATCCAGAATTTAAAAAATTTTAAAAATTTTTTTATTATATATATTAGATCCCTCTAAGTGCAACCTTCCTAAATGCACGCTCTATGAAAATACTTTCTAAATGTATATTTTCTTTTGGCTCAACTAATATAATACAGATTTTTATCTCCCTAAATACAATACTTCTCTAAATGCACGTTTGATTCAATTTTTGTATATAGTCCCACCACAATACATTTAGAGAGGCCTGGCTGTAATTTCTTTTTATTAATCTTTTTTTTTATTTAAAAATTTAAGTTGGGTTGCTTAGCAGATGCGTTTTGCATGAACATCATACTGACTTCTTCGTATGTTAGTAATAACTATAGATTAAAAGAAGAGAAAGTGTTAGCAACTACTGGTTTGTAATTTTTCTCTTTTTTTTTTTAGTTTATTTATAATTGACTTTTTTTTTGTTTTTTTATTTTTTTTATATTTTATCCCAGCTCATGTTCTTCCTTGCTTGTGCCTTGTATGCTTTTTGTTTATGATCAAGAACAGTACGATAATCTTAGATAAGAAGAAAATACTCTCAGAAATATCACACTGATTTAACACTATAATACTGCACTGACTTTTTTTAATTTTTAATTTAGTAAGTAATCAAAAAATCAGCAAAGATATGGCACAGTAATAGTAGAACAATATAATGCTAGATGTTGTTATCAGTATGATGAAGGAATTGGAGTTGAAAAGAATGAACGTAAGGTATTTATTAATTACTAATAATTTGCAGAAATAGAACACGCTACTGAAACATATAGCATTTGATGTTATTATAATAAAAGCATTAGAGTTGAAAAGGATGAACAAAGACATTCATTTATCATCAAAAATCTGCAAAGACAGATATGCTAGTGAAACATATAATGTTGGATACTGTTATAACAAAGAATTGGAGTTGAAAAGGATAAATATAAGGTATTTATTTTATGCTCTTATGGAATACCTTTAGAATTTAAGTTATGTTGTGGAACACCTTGATATCATCATTACAAAAGTTTGGGTTAAGGATTAGGTTTAATAACTGTATTTAATATAGTAGTTATTTTAGAAGATAGGCAGGATTTGGATTTATTCTAGTTATACAATCATGTTTTGAAATATATATATTACATTATTTTACTGTATAATAATAAGTTAGATAAAATTAAAATATAAAAATAAGTCACATTTAAAAAAATATATATATATTTTTTAAGTCATAAGGCCATACAAACTTAATAAATTGATTCTTATAACCTGGCCAGGTCAAATTTCACAAAATTTTTAAAAAAATTTTTTAACTATATTTAGAGACAGTAACAAAAATTAGGTGATTTTTTAGGGGGGAGAGGGTAAAAAATTTAAAATTATATATAAAGACCTGATCAAAATATATAGTAAGAGAGGAGGAGGGGAGTAAGCCTCTAATAAAAAAAATCAGGTGATAAATGACACTGCTCTTACTATCTGAATGATTTTTATAAAAAAATTTTTATATGCCTTTTATATATAAAAATTTTTGGAAAATAAATTAAAAGCCGGGTTACTAGGTTATTTTTCAAATTTTATATTATGAGAACCAAAAAATTAACTTTGTATAGCCTAATATTTCTTGTATATTCAACTTTGGTAAAATATATTTTTTATTAATCAACTATATAAAATATATTTTTTATTAATCAACTATATATTACAACTATTTATAAACTAATACTCTTAAAGACCACCTAAATATGATTTCAATCACCCCACCAAATAGATTGGAAATAAAATTTTAATTATAATAAACTTTTCAATTGCAATGGGTTTGAATGCCCAATAGCTCACAAATCGAGGCTACTTGAAATGCTCTAATATTTATCACAATAATACCTAGCATTATATAGTCAAACTAAAGATGAGCACTATGCGTATAACTGTATATATGCATACACCATGTATACGTATAGTTTAATGGCCTATATACCAAAATGCCTATACAAACAAAAAAAAAATTTAAAACAGAGCAAAACTGAGTTGCAAGATAGTAGTAAATCTACTATGTAGATCGGAAATCTGCATTTAATTGTTTTTATTAAAATAAAGGTTAAGTTTATCTTCATGTGATATATAATTATAGTAGTTTTGCTATGTATGTACGTACATATATACGTAGCTTACAACTCAGATTTTATCCTGTCATATAATGCTTATTTATTTGCTCACGTATACCAGCCCTTAAAATAGAATATATATAGATTTATTTATTTGCTCATATATACAAGTCTTTAAAAAAAAAACTTTAATTTGTACATGTAACGTAAATCTCTGAAACAGAACATAATTTATATCAGTATATACATATATATAACACAAATCTCTGAAACAAAACATAATTCGTATTAGTATGTATCTTGTATGTATATTCATATATTTATTACCTTTTGAAATTTTACGTATATGTATAATTAAAGAGAGTGATAATTTTTCATATTTGATATATCGTATAAATATTTGTTTACATGCAAAACATGTTGTTTTAACTTCAATTTTTTTTACAGTATAATGTTAATAGATTTTTAAAAGAAATTTTTTTTTAATAAATTCTAAATTGATAAGTTAGTATGTAATTATTTTTTTTTGAAAAAAAATGCTCGATCCAATTTGGATTTACTTTGTTAAACTAGAACAGATAACTGGATTTAAACAAAAAAGAATAGAATATAAATATTGTTAAAACCAATTTAATAATGCTCTTAGAGCAGCATATACATACTTTTGGAACTGTAGTTTAGTTATATCAGAACAAAAAAAAATTATTTTGGTAATTCATATGAAGAAGAGGATGATATTGATGATAATATATCTGATATATCTTCTTTAGCTACATCAACTTCTGTATCAATATTAGTTGCATCAACTTTATCTGCTACTACCTCTTTAATTGTACCAAAAGGTTCTGGAAATCGAATTATAAATTATATTATACTTGATTGTATATCTAAAATAGAGCAAAAGTTACTTGAGTTAAAATTTGCATAATCGGTTTTTAAATATAGCTTATTTTTGTCCTTACCAGAAATAGAATCAATTAAAAAGTTGTGAAAACAGGTATGGCCAGCATTCAAGTTGCTCAGTTGAAAAAAACTTTCAACTATTTTACTAGATAAGGTTTATAATGAAACCAAAAAAGATGTTAAAATATTGATCAATAATAGCCAAAACCTGTGTTTTATATCAGATGGTTGGTCCAATTTAGTATATGAACATTGGAATAATTACATTTTAACAACACCAAAATCAGTTTTTTATGCAGCATATTCAACTAATAAAATCTGTCAAACTGGTGAAGCTATTGCACATAATTTAAAAAAAATCATGATTGAAATAGGTATCTCAACAATTTCAGCAATTATTACTAACAATGCTGCCATAATGAAAAAAGCATGGTGCCTTTTAGAAATGGATTATCTTGAAGTTTTGTTCTTAGGTTGCATTGCACATAGTTTAAACTTTTTAGTTAATAATATAATAAAATTAAGATGATGTATAAATTTATTAAAAAATGCAAAAAAAATAGTTATATACTTTTGAAAAAATCAAATTCTAATAGCCATATTAAAACAACACCAATTAGCTACATATAATCAACAAATATCCCTTAAGTATCTAGTTAAAACATGGTAAGGATCTTTGGCAACCTGTCTTAATTCATTTGTCCAAAATCAACTTGCACTTAAACTAACCGTAACTGAATTGGCTCACAACAATCATATTTTAATACCTGAGATTATAAGTGATATTATAACATGTGAGAGTTTTTGAAAAAATATTAATTCTTTGCTTATAATATTAGATAAATTGGTTATAGGCATCGCTACTTTTGAGTTAGACACACCAAGATTGGTATTGTTTTATCAGTAATATCACAAACAATTAGAATCTGATAGTAACCAAATTAATATACTTATGTTATTTATTTATATACATAATAATTTATTATATTATTTTAGATTATGTTTTTCCTGAAGTAGGTTCCGCAATTAAAATTTTATTAGAGAATAGGTAAAAAAAAATATATCAACCCATATTATCAATAGCATACTTGTTAAATCTACGATATCATGAAAAAAAACTTCCTGCTAATAGTATGTTTAAATAGAGATACAAATCAGCTCATCAACTTTATTTGCTAGTTTTTATTTTGCTAAATATACAAATTCGCTAAGCTGTTTTGTATCTCTATATTTGTGGGATTGTAATTTTTACGTAATTTGTATAAATTTAAGTAAGTTAAATTTCATGTGACTTATAATTTTTGGATGATCATATAACATAATAAAGTTACATGAAATCTAATTTATATAAATTATATAAGATTATAATATTTATAATACAACTTTAGGCATGTCAACTATTTCAACATTTGTTCAACGGTATTACTCAGATAAAGCCAACATTATTTGGTAGCAATTACTTCAATATAAAACTAAAACTGGTATATTTAATTTTAACTTGACTTGAGCATGACAGAAGTTCTATTTGATTTGCCAAAAATATGCAACTTGCTGATCATAATTATTAGATTGTGATTGGCCAGTATAAGTTCTATAAATTTCTACAAGATTTGATATTAAGCTTCATCACGAATTTCATCATGAAAAAGTTTGTTGCTTGCTGGTTCAAAGTTTTGCAGTAGTAAATATTCTGTGATTAAAGCTTGTGATTATCAAGTTTCGTCCAGAACAAGTCTTTGGCTAAGTTTTGCAATGGTCTTGCAGTGGTCTTGCTATGTGCAGTAGTCTTGCTGTGATCAAGCGCTGTGGTTGGGTTTTGTCGTGAGTAAGCTTTCTCTGAAGTACTATTATTTGAATTTTACCATCTTGTAGTTAAGTTTTCTGTATTCAAAAGGTTTTATTTTGGTAGAGTTCTGTTGTATTCAAGCCTTGTCGTGACCAAGTTTGGCTAGCTAAGTCTTACCTTATAAGTTTTGCCATGATCAAACTTTGCTAAAGTAGGTTTTACTTTTTTCAAGAGGTAAGAATTTGATTATTTGTAATATTTGTAATTGGCTATTTTTTTTACCAATTTTTTTTTTTTAAAAAAAAAAATTAAAAAAAGGTTATTAATATGATAACCAAAAATTTTGGTCCTTGTTCAGTTGTTGATTGTATAAATACCAACGTTAAGTTTCGTACAATCACAGAGTTTGCGTATGAGAAATGCCGTAGGAAACGAACGCTGGAAGCGTATCCTTACCTTGAAATTGGAAAGCAACTTTGTCATCCACATTACTGTAATATTGTGAAACCAGATAGAAAACATAAATCTAAAAAAATCCGTATACAAAAAAAAGAAGTGTTACAACCAATAGACCTTACATTAAATCATAATGTAGTTACTATATATTTATTTTATTGTTTTTTATTATATTCTATATTTATTTATTTATGTTTTTATTTATTTATTTAAACAGAATACTTTTGCTTCAAGCATGGAAATGCTAACAAAAGCATTATATCATTTACAACGCCGAGAACATAGTAGTTTGGAACTAGATCTAATGAAGTTTGAATGTATAATTGAAGCTGCAAATTCTGGACTTAAAGGTTTTTTAATTGCATAATGAATGCAATAATTCCTCAAGAACATTCAACCTATAATATAAATGAAGCCAAGAAGTCGATTGTTGGATTATGTTACATGATGGTGGGTTTTCATAATAAATTTGTTAACCAATACAAATTGGAAGTGGGATTGTATTTAATAGTGTCGGGTGTGACATGGAAAGCTGTAGACACATTGTCAAGTCTTGGGTATTCAGCATGCGCAAAGACAAGAGAAAAATATAGAAAAAAAATTCAAAAAGAGTATGCAATAAAAATTGAAAATTATTTTTTAAATTATGTATTGTGTTGTAATTTTGCAAATTGATGTGGTATTATTGTTGTTACAATATATTTTAATATTAAATGTAATTAT